GAAGAGCGGAGCAGATGTGTTTTCTCCCCTGGAGGAAGGTATCGTTTCCAGAACACATCTCTCTTTGGTAAGATTACAGAGAGAACATTTCACAGTTGGATTCCCTGCCGTATGTTTAAATGTCCCTGCTTCAGCTGTCAAGGATTTCAAGTGCTTTTTAAAAGTTCCACATTATTGTAGCTCAGAGTTCTGAATTCTATCACAATTTATTGGTGAAATTAAATGAACAGAATAATAACTGAATCTCAGACTCTCAGTCACTGAGTGTAACTGTCTTGTGGAAACACAGCTCTGCAGAGATCTGAAGGAGAACATCCTTTAAAACTGAAAACTGGGGACTTCCCTGGTGGTCCAGCGGTTAAGACTCCACGCTTCCACTGCAGGGGGCGTGGGTTCCATCTCTGGTCAGGGAACCAAGGTCCCGCATGCCGCATGGTGTGGCCAAAAAAAAAAAACTCAAAAATGTCTTCCACTTTGGGAATGTTGCAGAATCAAGGCAGCATGGGTGGAGACGGACTCAGACCTTAAATAGATACGTGGAAATTCCACATAAGGGTTTAAAAAAGGGCATCAGGAAAGGAAGTAGAAGGAGAAGCTAGGGGTTTGCTCCAAACATTTTTTTCCGTAAAAATAAGTGTTCTGTAGAATTTAAAACTTATGTCCCAGGTACAAACTATTATGTATAAAATAAGCTACAAGGACATATTGTAACACAACACAGGGAACACGGCCAACATGTTATAATAATCATAAATGGAGTATAACCTTTAAAAATTGTGGGGAAAATGGGGGAGGGGGAAATTCCCTGGCAGTCCAGTGGTTAGGACTCTGTGCTTCCACTGCAGGGGGCACGGGTTCAATCCCTTGTCAGGGCACTAAGATTCCACATGCCGCATGGTACGGCCAAAAAAATAAAAATTGTGAATCACGATATTGTACACCTGTAACACAATATTGTACAGCAACTATATTTCAATTTTTTTAATTTAAAAAATAAATAAAACTTATGTCCCAAGAATAACACTCAACATCCTTTGTCATCAGCTCATACACCTAGCATTTCTAGAAGAACTAAATGTGTTAACCCCTAATAAATATAATAAAATAAGAAACAAAATGATTTTTAAAATGTAGCTTCTCTCCACAATGCAGTCGGACTGGGAAGCTGCATTCTTAATGAGTGCTCCGGGTGATTCTGACGCTTGTGGTCCCAGGCTGTACTTAGAGAAACATAGTGAGGTCAGGTCTACATCAGGAGTAATCACCCTGCCCCTCTCCCGGGGTGCATCAGAAAGAGATTCCCAGAACTGAGCTGTCTTTGGGATTTAGGGTCCGTACTGAGTTATGATAGTGGAATGACAGAGAGGCAGAAATTTGGGGATGTAGGAAAAACTCCCCTATTTCCCATTTGTCTGCCGGCAGTGGGAACTAAGAAGGTGTGTCCCAGTGTCTGGCTCCTCTGAGCAGGGGCTGGAATGGCCTTAGCTCTCTTCGTCCTTTGATCCTTTATTCTATTCTCTTACTTTTAGGATGGAAAGAGATGCTGCATTTACACAAAAAAAGGCAGAGAGGGCGGGCCTCAGAGTTCACCTCAGAGAAAAGTACAGACTCCCAAAGGTGAGACACTCAACACAGAAAACATCCAATCATTTTTTACGTAATAAGAAATGGAAAGTGTTTGATTATCAGCAAAGGGTCACACTCATGGGTGTGTGTGTGTGTGTGTGTGTGTGTGTGTGTGTGTGTGTATATATATATATATATGTAACATGTATATACACACACATAGATGTACATATATAATACATAAATATATTTATATGCCTTAATCGTAATTGAGGTATCTGATATAGTGAAAATAGCACTGAACTTGTTCATAAAAACTAGATTCCAGTCTTCTGAACTTGCATTTCCTCTCAACAAAATGGAGTAATACCTGTTTATGTACATTTATCTAAAGACTATAGAACATTTATATATAAATGCACAATGGGGATAATCATCACAGGTGACATTTCTCGAGCTCCTTCCTAAGTGCCAGGCGCTGTTCTAAGTGCTTGGCACATATCAATTCATTTAATCCCCAGGACAGTCTTGTAAGGTAGGTTTCTTAGAGGAAACAGAGGAAGAAAGAGAGTAACTACCCTCCGGCCAAGGGCCATGCTGCCAGGCAAAACAGAGCCCAGGGTCTTAACTTCTATGACATTCTTCCTCCATGTCAGAGGAACAATCTGTTCCTTCCTTTTGGAGATGATGGGGTGGTGATGGTCATCACCGAGCACCATCTTATCCATCCTGGCTGAGAGGACAAACTCCTGTGGGCTTTGGTCAAGTAGCTGGTCTCCAAAAGTCATGGGTCTGACTTATAAACTAAAAACTGCTTGCAAGGACTTCCCTGGTGGCGCAGTGGTTAAGAATCCGCCCGCCAATGCAGGGGACACGGGTTCAAGCCCTGGTCCGGGAAGATCCCACATTCCGCAGAGCAACTAAGCCCGTGCGCCACAACTACTGAGCCCACGTGCCACGGCTACTGAAGCCCGTATGCCTAGAGCCTGTGCTCTGCAACAAGAGAAGCCACCGCAATGAGAAGCCCGAGCACCGCAACTAGAGAAACCCCGCGCATAGCAACGAAGACCCAACGCAGCCATAAATAAATAAATTAATTAATTAAATTTAAAAAACAAAAAACAAAAAAAACTGCTTGCAGTGCCCTCTACAGCACAACTGTTTTACCTGGAGAAGTAAACAGTTTTACCTGGAGAAGCCAAAGAGATCCTTCCAAAGCACATCGTCTTCTCGCAGGGATGAGGGCCAGCGGGCTGGGCGGTTTAGAAAGTGCAGCTAAACCAGTTGCTTCAGTGGGTCCCCTGCAGATCCCCGGGAAAACTGACTTCAGAAGCTGCAAGCTGTAAACAAAGGGAGCGAGCCCATTGCCCATGCAAGGTCACTGCTGAAGCCACTGAAGAGGTATACAGCCCCGCGCCCGGGAGACATTGATCCTAAGACGGACGTGCTCACTGAGGTGGGAAAACTCACAATAAAATTTAAACTCATGTTCATTTGCAACCAATGAATTTCGAAAAGAGTGCCTTGCTTTTTGCCCACCTTATTCCAGATTAGTACTTTTTCCCACCGGGACTGCATTTTGGGAGTGTGGAGCACTTCTAACACGGTCCCTCCACTCCTGTTGCCTGAATTTCCTGAAGCTCCCTAGGATGGCCGGGCTGTGTTTAGCAATGTGGCAGCAGATTCCCGCCGCTCAACTGAAGCCCCGCCCTCCCACTTCCGGCCTCCGGCCTCCGGTGCATCTGATGAAAGCACCACACGTCTCGTTTGGAAGCAAGCAGAAATTAAGTGCACTTGCATGCTTTCGCACACACCCACACACACCCTCAACTGGCTGTGTCTGTTCCAGAAAGGTGGGGCTTTTTTGTGTTTTTGTAATTTTATTTACTTTTGGCTGCGTTGGGTCTTCGTTCTTGCGCGTGGGCTTTCTCTAGTTGCGGCGAGCAGGGGCTATGCTTCCTTAAGGTGCATGGGCTTCTCATTGCGGTGGTTTCTCTTGTTGCGGAGCCCGGCCTGTAGGAGCGCGGGCTTCGGGAGTTGTGGCTCACGGGCTCTAGAGCGCAGGCTCCGTACTTGTGGCGCATGGGCTTAGTTGCTCCGCGGCATGTGGGATCTTCCCGGACCAGGGCTAGAACCCGCGTCCCCTGCATTGAAAGGCGGATTCTTAACCATTGCGCCACCAGGGAAGTCCCAAAGGTGGGGCTTTTTTAGAATACATATATATCTGTTGTTCTTGAGGATATATTTTTGACGACTGTTCTGTTGATTGGTGAAGATATAAGGAGAACTGGCTTTCAGTTCTGGCTCTGACATCTGCAATGTCAGATGGTTTTTTAATATATCTGAGCCTCCATTTCCTCATCTATAAAATGGGGGCAGTGATACCTACTTCCTGAGGTCTTTGTCCGAGATAATAAGGTGTGCCTGACAAGGCGAGTGCCTGACGAGTGGAAAGAGCTCCATGGATGATCACTCTAATTGCTGTTATTATCTCTATGCACAAAAGTTTTATTTCTTGATAATAACAAGCAGGGGTCTTGGAGGCCTGGGGTGGGCACACTGATGTTTGTAAACAAGGCAAGAATTGGAGGTCCCTGAACCACAAGCATCTGAGCTTTGTTGGTGAGTCCACGGTCCTGCTCACCTCAGTTCTCAGGGGTGGGACACCTTCGGGCTTTGTAAAATGAGTTTGATGCTCTTCAGAGAAAAAATAATTCCCAAATCTCTGAGCCAAGCTGTCCTTTGAAACAAGAGCCTTTCCAACAGAAACTATGGGAAGAGGGGAGAATTATAGCCACATAACGTACAGATTCATATCCTCCCTGGAGCGATAGTGACTCTATCTGCATAGGCTACTGCTCCCTAAAGCCAGCTAGAGGAGGGGGACCCTAAAGAAATCTATACATTGTTAACGATGGAGCCCAGTGTCTTTCGTTGCATGGGTTACTGCTGCCCATGTACACATTTTTCTACAGCTGTTTCAAATGCACAATGCATGAGAGCCCACCTGATGTTTTCATAGACCCTGAAGGAGACCTTTGAGTTCATCTAAGAATCTAATGCCGCGGCCTCACTTTAGACCTGAGGAAACTGCAGCCAATGGGGAATGGGGGTAGGGGTGCTGTGGCTAAGGGACTTCGCAAAACCCCACAGCTGTGGAGTGACAGAACCAGGATTGGAACTTGGGCCTCTCAGCCACGCAAAAGAGCATCTTAACACACAAAAGGATTTGGATGTAGCTCCTTCTGGCCCCAAGGTCTCTGCTATTTCTACTCTTAATATTTGAGGTGTCCCAAAAGTTTTAGAGTGGTTTGGAGTTCCATGTGCTTTAAAATTATCCTGAGACTTTGGGGGAAACCGGCACTGCTCACTATTTCAGCAAAGTGTCGCAGAAGCCGTCCCCCAGAAGACCAGGTGCATCACTTTTCCTGCCCCTGTGTCAGCTGATGGCTTGACCGGAGACCTGGGAGTTGCTGACGCAGTTCCAACACAATTCAAGTAAACAGTGATAGTGTGACTTGAAAGCATTCCACGTGTCATCCTTCACCGCAGAGTTTACTTTCTGGTGGAGGCCTCCCTAGGGCGCTTTATAACATGGCTGGATTTCCTAAAAATGGATGCTACACATCATGTTGCAAGACTTTGCTTATGGTGTGAAAAACCCCAACAATACAACTGCCTGCTTTTTTTGTAAGCACATGGATATTCTGTCTAATCCAATGTGCACTATTCATAACAATGGTAATTAATAGGAAGAATGCCATAAAACATCACTTGGATCATATTCTGCTTTGTCCAGTTCTCACCAGATGTGGCCGGCACCCCCACCTCAGTGCAGGCCTTGGGCTTGGAGTGCAGACCTGCCCCACTTCCTTTGCCTTGAGTGGCTGTCACAAGTTACATGCTCTGCTCCCACCCCTCTGAGGCACAGGGTGCAGGGGGCCTTCAACAGCACCCATGGCTGGAAAGGGGCAAGGAGGGACAGACACTTTTCCCAGGCCAAGATCAGCGCAAGGGTGGCTGCTTCCTGTCTGTGCAGACAGGTCACTCCTGTCCAAGCCAGATTCTGGCTTTGGTGTGGTACTCGTGGTAGGACCCGCTGCCTGCACAGGGACAGGAATCTGGGTCCTTCCAGCTCCCTGGTGTCCCCAGACGCAGCCACAGGGAAATGCACCTGGGCTGCCCCAGAAGAACCGCTCCTCAGATGTTCTCAGTTCTTCCCTGGGGACTGTATGCTGTAGCAAGGGCCGTGGTGGTGCTGGGGAACAGAAATAAATTTCTGGACATGACTTTTTTTTTTAAAGCCCATTCTTTTGATATTAAGGACCAGACTGTGCATTTTGTTCTCAAGCGGTCGCTGCACTAGCGAGCCTGGAAAGGCTCGGTGGGCTCTGCTATGAGTACCTGTCACAAAGCAGGAGGTGGCAGCACACTTGAGGGACAGTGGCGGGTACAGGCTGGGAGGGCAGTGTCTGAGCAGCGGGACCCTCCCCTGGCACGCTGGGAAACAGCTAGAAAACCAAGCATTGTAACTGTCTCCGCAGCAGCCAGGATGGTGAGAGGTTTTAAAACGACTGACTGTAATTGAGGAAAAGCATTGAAGGAATTGGAATATTCAGCCTTGAGAGTAGAAGACTTTGGGGAAATGACGACCTTGGGGGATGGTCATTTCCCAGGCCCAGAGTGTCATGCTTTGGTTCTAATATTTGTATCAAGCCAGCTTCTCTAGAGGGGCCCATGCTGCTGGCTGGTATGGAACCGGCTGTAACTCTTAGGTCTTTCTTTAATTATTCAGAGGAACCCTTCATAGTGGAACCTTTAGAAAGCCTTCTTAAAAGCATGATGGGAATATCAGTGGTAGGTTTTCATCTCCTAGTTGTTCCAATAAGGAGCAAAGAGGCCCAGGAAGGCCAGGCAGTGTCCATGGGCATCACTGTGATTGGGAAAGGCCAAGGCCATGGCAATGTGTACAGTGAATTGGAGGGAAAGGGATGAGGGGCTGGCTGGTCAGTACTGGACCCTTATGGCAGCCTGGACAGGGCTGAGGGTGG